AGCAGTAGCAGCGAGTGTGAAGGCTACCGGCGCTGTGGCACACGAGGGGGTGGGTGGCTACCAGCACCACGCCCGGCCGCCTTTGTCTCTCCCCCCAGTGGCGATGTTCATTAGACACCGCAACACCAAGTACTTGTTTGAGGCTGAGTCGACCTAGGGGAGGCCCAGGTTACCGGTTCAGATAATCGTCACTGGTGGTGTTGGTCGTGAGCGGGAATCGAACTCGGGTGGCCGGGTTCGTAGCGCAGCGTAGCGCTAACCACGACAACAACAACAACAACCGCCATTCGCCACTAAGTGGCGGTGACATCACCACGATGCTTGTGCCAGGCCAAGTGCACCTTGAGGCCACGTGAAGTGTCGAACGACCGCTGGCAGGAGGTCACGGGGCAGACCCAGGTGCCACGGGTCGACTGTCTGAGATGACCGAGATGACTGGCTGATGCACCGCCTGTGCCCCCTACTGTGCCAACTTGTTGTGCTTTAGCCACCCGGCGCTCCGCTCGTTGTTGTGAGCGTCGCTCCTCCGCCCTCCGTTGTTGCTGGAGGGCGACTGCCTCCAACTGCCCAGTAGCGTCCTTCACGAGCCTCCTCCACAGAGGCCGATCTTGACACCGCTGGTACCAGTCATTGGCAAGTCCACTCAGCTCCACGTCCTCCTGTACCACATCACTCTATCTCTTCTCTAGCCCGTGCCGTGCCTGTTTTGCCCCCTCGATCCGGCCGAACAAAAATTGTTTGGGCATGCGGTGGCTGGACATGCGGGCTACATGACCCAGCCAACGCAGCCTTGCCTGGCGGAGGAGCTCACTGATGGGACTCTTTCAAGGATTTGTGAGTTCCTTACACAATCCAGCCTTGTAAACCCAGGATGGATCGTAGGCAGGCCAGCCTAAATGTTTCTAACCAGCGAAGATGCTCCATTAGGGGGGTTCATGTTTCGCAAGTGTAGAGAAGGGAGGGAATGCCCATGGTCGAGAAGAACTGAAGCTTCGTGCGGAGCAACAGACCAGGTAGCTTCCACACAGCGTTACGCAACCGATGAAAAGATATTGCCGCTCGACTGATTCGGAGTGAGACCTCTGCTGTTAAACCGGAGCCAGTCATGAGCACACTGCCCAGGTATGGGAAACTCTCCGCTCTCTCCACAACTGCCCCATCACCGATTGGGAGTTGTGGGGGTGGAGTGTCCAATAGTACAAAATACCCAGGCAGGTGCTTAGTTTTGGTGGGGCTGATGGTAAGGCCCCACCTCTTAGTGGCACGCTCCAGTCTCAGCAGCAGAGCCTCCAACTCCCCCCATTAAATCTGTACCAAATGGAGATTCCCCCGGTACAGCTGTTGAAGGCTTCATGAACTACGTGATTAAAATAGATGTTAAATAATGTGGGAGCCAGAGGACATCCCTGTCGCACACCAAGGTATACAGGGAAAGGCTCTGACTCCCGGACGCGTAGTTTTACCCGGGCCCGCTCACCATCATGAAGGTCATGAAGGTCCTTAATGATCGTGAGTAGAGGGTCAGAGACTCTGAAAGCACGAAGAACAACCCAGAGCCCAGGCCTACTGATGGTATCATAGGCCTTGACCAGGTCAATAAAGCAGAGATGTAGGTCTTGTTGGAATTCCCTACACCTCTGCTGTAGCAAACGGACAGAAACTATGGCATCTGTGCAGGACCGCCCTTTCCTGAAACCGTATTGGGGCTCTGCAAGCCTCTCCTCAGCGTGCCTAGCAAGGCGATGTTGAATAATCCTTGCCAGGACGTTTCCCGGCACACTGAGGAGTGAGATGCCCCTGTAGTTGTTACAGTCTGTGCGGTCCCCTTTCTTAAAGAGGGGGACCACCAGGGAATCCTTCCAATCCTATGGAACCCATCCAGCGGTCCAGACTGTTGTTATGATGTCATATAGGGCAGTCTGTGTACAAACGCCACCCTCCCTCAGAATTTCGCTTGGGAGATCATATCTGCCCGGTGCCTTTCCTGGTCTCAGACTAAGGATCGCCTTAAGTACTTCCTCAACAGCTGGCACCTCAGCCAGCCACTCACAGGGGGTGACCTCTTCCAATATTTAAGGCACCGCAGCCTCAGCAGGGTTATCCCCACTTTGTGCCATGATGTTTTCCTGGCTGAGGGATTTCTCCTCCCCGAGGACCTCACAGAAATGCTCAGCAAATCTTCAAACCTGTTCCTGGGGGTCGGAGATTGGATCACTGTTTATTTCCCCGAATGATGGCAATAGGTGTGGCGCTGCAGGTTACTTTTTTGATGGAGTTAAATAGTAATTTGTGATCACGGGCCACTGAGGCAAACTCCATTTCCTCAGCAACCCACGACCACCACCCATCCTTGCAGCGCCTCACGGCTCTCCGAACCTCCGAGCGAAGGCTGCAGTAAGCCTCCTCATTCTCTGACGTGGGATGCTGTAGCCGATGAGAGTGGGCCTGTCGCTTTTCTCAACTATCCTGAACACCTCCTCTGTCAGCCAGGGTATCTGGGGAGGTCTGGACCGCGTACCCAAAGCAGCCATTGCAGCTGCATGAGTCACAGTCCTAAACCTCACCCATCTACCCTCGACATCAGGAGGAGTGGGGGACGATACCAACCCCAGCTGCAAGCGATGATGCAATTCTCGCTTGCAACTTTCATCAGCTGAGACCAGGCCACTTTAGGTTGGAATGGGGTCCTGGGTGTACACCCACCACCGGAGTGGAAGAATGGCAGGCATATCTTACAGATGACTAGTCGATGGTCAGAGGGCAGATCAGCTCCACGGTAGGTCCTGGTGTCAAGGACATGGGCTCGCATCTGCTGGTCCATCACTACGTAGTCCAGCAGATGTTCTTACTTGGACCCGGCATGCATCCATGATGTTGTGTGGATGCGCCGATGCCGGAAGAGCGTGTTGGTAATTACAAGCCCATGGGCTGCACAAAAATCTAGCAGCATCCTACCGTTGTTATTGAGCTGATCTGGCCCATGCCTTACAATCACTCCAGACCAGGTGCCAGCATCATGACCAACTCGGGCATTGAAGTCACCCAACAAGAAGACTCTGTCCCGAGTGGCCACTTTAGCCAGCACCTGTGACAGGAGGTCATAGAAGGCATCTGACTCATCGGCTGTTCGTCTTCGGTGGGGGCATAAGTAACCACGACCACCACTCCTCGCCTCTGGTTGATGGGAAGGTGAGCCCAAAGTAGCCTGGGGCTTACAGCTTCCCACACCTCACCGCCACGCTCCCACGCCCCCTTCATTATTTTGTTCAGAAGAAGAGCCACACCCTGTTGTTTGGCAGTCTCCTGCCCCGAGTAGAGGACTGTCCACCCCTCATGGTGGCAGGAGCCAGAACCAGTCCACCGGACCTCCTGAATGCCACAGAGATCCAGACGGTACCGGTGCAGCTCCCGACAAAGGAGTGGCAGCCTCTCCTCTGCAGTGAGCGTTCGAACATTCCACGCGGCCATCCGTAGTGGCTTTTTGTTGTTTCTGGAGGAGCCCCGAGGGTGAAGTTTCAATCTCCTGGCTCCGCCAATTGGGGTTTGGCCAGGAGACGTCATAGACGCCTGTCCCCCCGGGGCCTCCGGCACAAGCTTATTAGTTACATATTTATGTTTAATTCGTAGTTTCGTGGTAATGAATTGAAGGTGGAGGGGTTACCAGACCCTCGCACCCGTCCAGAGCCCCCGTTTAGCCACTGTGGTGGTCACAGACGCCATTAAGGGGAGAGGCCAATGGGCATTGGCCCTCCCCCCACAGCACTGCCCACGACAGAGTTCCCAGTCTGGCACCGCGAGGAGGTAGGGGGTTGATTTGGCAGACACACACACACACACCCAGACAGTGACACACACACACACACTGACACACACACAGACACACACACTGACACACACACACTGACACACACACAGACTGACACACACACACTGACACACACACATTGATATGACACAAATACTGACACACACACACACTGACACACACACTGACACACACTGACACACACACTGACACACACACACAGACACACACACACACTGACACACACACTGACACACACACTGACACACACACTGACACACACACTGACAAAGACACACACCGACACACATACACTGACACACACACACCTACACACACACACTGACACTCACACACTGACACACACACACCGACACACACACACACACTGACACACACACAATGACACACACACACTGACACACACACAATGACACACACACACTGACACTCACACAGACTGACACACACACTGACACACACACCGACACACTGACACAGACACACACTGAGACACACACTAACACACACACTGACACACACTGACACTCACACTGACACACACACAATGACACACACACTGACACACACATTAACACATTGACACACACACAGACACACACAGACTGACACAGACACACAGACTGGCACAGACACACACACACACCGACACACACACCGACACACACACTGACACACAGACACACACTGAGACACACACTAACACACACACTGACACACACTGACACACACACACTGACACACACACACTGACACACACACACTGTGACACACACACACACTGACACACACACACATTGACACACTGACACACACACATTGACACATTGACACACACACACTGACACACACACTGACACACACTGACACACACAGACTGACACACACACATTGACACACTGACACACATACTGACACACACACTGACACACACACTGACACAAACACATTGACACATTGACACACACACAGTGACACACACACAGACCCACACACACACACTGACACACACACAGATACACACTGACACACACACACTGACACACACACATTGACACACTGACACACACTGACACACACACTGACACACACACACAGACACACACTGACACACAGACACACACACACACAGACACACACTGACACACACTGACACACACACATTGACACTCACCGACGCCAGTGAGGGAACCAGAGACTTTGAAGATCCTTGGAGCTGCGTGGTCGAACTTGAACTTAACTCTATAAACAAATAAATATAAATATAGATACTGCTCGTGTATTGCACCAGATGAGACCTAACCTGGGACACGGAGACACGGGGAGACACGGGGGGACACGTGGGACACGGAGACACGGGGACACGGGGGGACACGGGGAGACACGGGGGGACACAGAGACACTGGGGCACTGGGAGACGGAGACACGGGGAGACACGGGGAGACGGAGACACGGAGACACAGAGACACGGGGAGACACAGAGACACGGGGACACAGAGACAGGGGGAGACACGGGGACACAGAGACACGGGGACACAGAGACACGGGGAGACACGGGGACACGGGGAGACACCGAGACACGGGGGGACACGGAGACACGGAGACACAGAGACACACGGACACACGGGGGGACACGGAGACACGGGGACACTGGGACACTGAGACACAGGGACACTGGGACACGGGGACACTGGGAGACACGGGGAGACACGGAGGGACACGGGGAGACACACGGGGAGACACAGAGACACAGAGACACGGGGACACGGGGAGACACGGGAACGCTGAGACACTTAGACACAGGGACACGGAGACACAGGGACACTGAGACCCTGAGACACAGGGAGAGACAAGGACCTGAGACCCTGAGACACAGGGAGAGACAAGGACCTGAGACCCTGAGACACGGGGAGACACGGAGACTCCGAGCCCCGAAAGCCCTTGGGTTGAGTCTCCACGGAATCGATTCCACGCGATTTCGATTCCAACACAACTCGATTCGCGGCCCCGCTTCCTGGTGGGCAGGAATCGACGCCACGTCACGCGTATGGGCGTGGGCCCGGCAAGAATCGATTCCAGAGTCGTAAAGCAATCGAATCTATCGCTTTGGCGGCAATGAGAACCGATGCTGTTGCCGGAATCGATCAAGGAATCGAATCGCGGGGGTCTGGTGTTTACGTGACGTCACCGTAGTAGAAATCACGATGCGCTATAAAGCTCTTTGTTGACTTGACGAATTAAAACAACAACAACAAACAATACATAAAAGCACGACAGGAGTGGATAATTATCGAAAAAAGTAAACGCGTCACTGAAACAACCAAACAAAAATACACAATTTAAAGTTTTAAAAAAATTCGTTTGTTTAGCAAACTTACTTTTTTAAATCCTTTATATTAAGTTCGCGTGCTTGCGTGCTTGCTTGCTTAGAACCGTGCAAATCTTTCGGTCGTTTTTTAACCCACTTCCCGTGATCCAATCGAGCTGACATTTTGCACACAGACTCGTTGTGCGTGACAATTAATGTTCGTGAAAATTTTTTTCCAAAATTTTACACTTTTTAGGGAAAACAAATTAAATATTAAATTACCAATTGCTTAATACTGGCAGACAATCATCTGACCCATAGGTGGCAGCCATCTCAAGCCAGAGGACGAGAGGACTCTAGCCGCCACGCATATAAAGGATTTAGAGTGAAAAACTTTGTTTTTACGGGTTATACTTGTTAGAAGTGACCTTGCTACAAATGATAGCGCAGTGAAAGTGGTCTCCTCATCATCATCTGAGGTTCTAGATTTGAAGCTTTCGTGACTGCAAGGATTCATATTGTTAGGTTTTTTTTCGGTAAAGTCACGTAGGTAAAACATTAAAATTATTCATATTAATAAAAGTAAAATAAAATAATTTTATTTAATTTAACTTTTATTAATTAATTAATAAAAGTAAAATTAAATAATTAAAATAAAATAATTTTTATTTTATTTTACTTTTATTAATCAAACAATCAAAGTTAAATAAAATAAAAATTATTTTATTTTACTTTTATTAATTAATTAATCAAAGTAAAATAAAATAAAAAATATTTTATTTAACTTTTATTAATTAATCAAAGTAAAATATAATAATTAAAATAAAATAACTTTTATTTTACTTTTATTAATTAATTAATCAAAGTGAAATAAAATAAAAATTATTTTATTTTACTTTTATTAATTGTAATGTTTTACCTACGTGACTTTACCAACATGGCCGCGCTCAACCCTCGCCTCTCTCTCTCTCGCTCCGATACGTGCTTTGAAAAAGGGCCACTGGCCGAAACGTCGTCAATGTAACACGTTGTATATTTCTTTCAAAGTCACCACTCTTTGAGTTTTTGTTGTTGTTGTTTTAAATCGGGGCCGGCTCAGGGCGAAATCCGAATGGTCGTTAATCCCTTACCAACATGGCGGCTCTACTTCCTAGCCCCTCCCCTCTTGCCCAACCCCCTCCCACCCAGCGAAGCCCCGCCCACCTCGCCTAGCCCCTCCCCCCCACTCCACCCTACCCCCTCCCACCCAGCGAAGCCCCTCCCACCTCGCCTAGCCCCTCCCCACTCCGCCCAACCCCCCCCCCCCACTCAGCCCCTCCCCCCCGCCCAACCCTCCCCCCCGCCCAACCCCTCCCCTACCCCAACGTTCACTTCCCCGCCCTCCCTCTGCCTAGCCCCTCCCACTCAGCCTAGCCCCTCCCACCCTGCCTAGCCCCTCCCACCCAGCGTAGCCCCTCCCACCCTGCCTAGCCCCTCCCACCCAGCGTAGCCCCTCCCACTCAGCCTAGCCCCTCCCACCCAGCGTAGCCCCTCCCACTCAGCCTAGCCCCTCCCACCCTGCCTAGCCCCTCCCACCCAGCGTAGCCCCTCCCACCCAGCCTAGCCCCTCCCACCCTGCCTAGCCCCTCCCACCCAGCGTAGCCCCTCCCACCCAACCTAGCCCCTCCCACCCTGCCTAGCCCCTCCCACCCTGCCTAGCCCCTCCCACCCAGCGTAGCCCCTCCCACCCAGCCTAGCCCCTCCCACCCTGCCTAGCCCCTCCCACCCTGCCTAGCCCCTCCCACCCAGCGTAGCCCCTCCCACCCAGCCTAGCCCCTCCCACCCTGCCTAGCCCCTCCCACCCTGCCTAGCCCCTCCCACCCAGCGTAGCCCCTCCCACCCAGCCTAGCCCCTCCCACCCTGCCTAGCCCCTCCCACCCAGCGTAGCCCCTCCCACCCAGCCTAGCCCCTCCCACCCAACCCAGCCCCTCCCACCCAGCCTAGCCCCTCCCACCCAGCCTAGCCCCTCCCACCCAGCCTAGCCCCTCCCACCCAGCCTAGCCCCTCCCACCCTGCCCAGCCCCTCCCACCCTGCCTAGCCCCTCCCACCCTGCCCAGCCCCTCCCACCCTGCCTAGCCCCTCCCACCCTGCCCAGCCCCTCCCACTCAGCCCAGCCCCTCCCACTCAGCCCAGCCCCTCCCACTCAGCCCAGCCCCTCCCACCCAGCCCAGCACCTCCCACTCAGACCAGCCCCTCCCACTCAGCCCAGCCCCTCCCACCCAGCCCAGCCCCTCCCACTCAGCCCAGCCCCTCCCACCCCGCCTAGCCCCTCCCACTCAGCCCAGCCCCTCCCACTCAGCCCCTCCTACTCAGCCCCTCCCACCCAGCCCCTCCCACTCAGCCCCTCCCACTCAGCCCAGCCCCTCCCACCCAGCCCCTCCCACCCCGCCAAGCCCCTCCCACTCAGCGTAGCCCCTCCCACCCAGCCCCTCTCACCCCGCCTAGCCCCACCCTGCTCCTGAGAAGTCAGACGACGAGACGAGACGTCTGTGTGTGTCTGTCTGTCTGTCTGCGGTGTCTGCGTGCGCGCCATGGCCGATATCTCCGAGATTGAGGCGAGAATCGAGGCGCTGGAGCGCGCCCTCTGCGGTGGCCGCCCGCCCGCCAAACGCCTCCAGGTGCCGCTGTCATCCCCGCAACTCCGCACCAATTTCGGGTTAAAACACCGCTCGAGGCCTAGCTCGACTCGGAGCCTACTCGCTTGCCTGGATCGCTTTGCCGCGCCCGGTGCCTCGGTCCCTGTAGGGGGAGCAGACATGGGGGGGGTGGGGGTGTCTCTTTTCAATGAACGTAGAACTCTTTCTTGTTTAGACAGCATCTCTGCGGTGGCCGCCCGTCCGCCAAACGCCTCGAGGTGCCGCTGTCATCCCCGAAACTCCGCACCAATTTCGGGTTAAAACACCGCTCGAGGCCTAGCTCGGCTCGGAGCCTACTCGCTTGCCTGGATCGCTTTGCCGCGCCCGGTGCCTCGGTCCCTGTAGGGGGGGGCAGACGTGGGAGGGGGTGGGGTCCTGGGGTGTCTCTTACGAGTAAACGTAAAACTGTTTGTTGTTTTGAAAGCATCGTTATCAACAGCATTGTTATCAATAGCATCATCAACACCATCGTTATCAATAGCATCATCAACAGCATTGTGATGATCAACAACATTGTGATGATCAACAGCATCATCAATAACAACATGATTGCAGCAGGCGTCTTTCCTGGTAGGGGTAATGTGAGTGGGTGGTGGTAGTATCTGAACCGGTCCAGGGGCTCCCCTGGGTCGACTCAGCCGCAAATGAGTACCTGGTGCGGTGTGTAAACATTGTCACTGGGAAGACAAAGGCGGCCGGGTATAATGCTGGCCACCCACCCCCTCGTGTGCCACAGCGCTGGTAGCCTTCATAGGTGCTGCTACTCGCTAACAGCACTTGCCCCTACAGTCTGTTAGAGGCTACACGGGGGAGATTTGCCTTTGGTAATAATGATGGTGGTGGTGAATGTTGTGTAAAGGAAGGACGCTCACAACAACGAGCGGAGCGCCGGGCGGCTAAAACGCAGCGAGTTGGCACAGTAGCGGGTACAGCTGGTGGTGCATCAACCAGTTACGTAGGTAAAAAATGAAAAAAATATAATAAAAATAAAATAATAAATCTTCTTGGTTCTTTCGGTAAAGTCACGTAGAAGGGAAGTAATAAAATAATAAAAATAAAACATAAAATCAAATAATTCTCACGACGTTTCGGCTACAACGCAAGCAGCCGTCTTCAGGTGAAGAATGAGACACTGCCAAGCTTGGAGCTTATATTTAAGCTGCTGGGTTGGAGGTGGAAGAAGAAGAGCGCCTTAACAAAAAGAATGTGCATATCAAGAGGAATTTAGCATATTCATGGGATATGCACATTCTTTTGTTAAGGCTCTTTTCTTCTTCCACCCCCAACCCAGCTTATATATAAGCTCCAAGCTTGGTAGTGTCTCATTCTTCACCTGAAGACGGCTGCTTGCATTGTAGCCGAAACGTCGTGAGAATTATTTGATTTTATTATGTTTTATTTTTTTTATTTTATTACTTCCCTTCTACGTGACTTTACCGAAAGAACCAAGAAGATGAATCCCTGCAGTCACGAAAGCTTTAAATCGAAATAAAATAAAAAATCACGACGTTTCGGAGGCAACACAAGTCTCCGTCATCAGGTGGGACCGTCACGGCCAGATTTGCTGCATCAAGTGAGGCAGGGATTCCAAGATGCAAGCTCTTAAATACAAGCTCCCCCCTCTCCTCCCCCTTCACCCATCGGGTGCTGTTTTGTCTCCTCCTGCTCCGCAGTGTGTGGATGCCCTGACGAAGATTCAGGCGACGTTGGACGTGGCGGCGGGCAAGAGGGAGCGCGTGAGGACCCTCTTCAAGAAACGTGAGGGACCGGGGAGGGACCGGGGAGGGACCGGGGAGGGACCAGGGAGGGGGACCAGGGTAGGGACCAGGGTAGGGACCGGGGAGGGACCAGGGAGGGGGACCAGGGAGGGACCAGGGTAGGGACCGGGGAGGGGGACCGGGGAGGGGGACCGGGGAGGGGGACCGGGGAGGGGGACCGGGGAGGGGGACCGGGAGGGGGGGGACCGGGGAGGGGGACCGGGGAGGGGGACCGGGGAGGGGGACCGGGGAGGGGGACCGGGGAGGGGGACCGGGGAGGGGGACCGGGGAGGGGGACCGGGGAGGGGGACCGGGGAGGGGGACCGGGGAGGGGGACCGGGGAGGGGGACCGGGGGAGGGGGACCGGGAGGGGGACCGGGGAGGGGGACCGGGGAGGGGGACCGGGGAGGGGGACCGGGGAGGGGGACCGGGGAGGGGGACCGGGGAGGGGGACCGGGGAGGGGGACCGGGGAGGGGGACCGGGGAGGGGGACCGGGGAGGGGGACCGGGGAGGGGGACCGGGGAGGGGGACCGGGGAGGGGGACCAGGGAGGGACCAGGGAGGGACCAGGGAGGGACCGGGGCGTTCGTAACGATGGCCGCGTCGGAGGAGGGAACCGCTTAAATCCTGGGCTCGAATCCCGGCATCAACCCCCCGCCTGCCTTTCATTGCACCACTCTTGTTGTGTGTGTGTAACGTGTGTGTGTAACGTGTGTGTGTAACGTGTGTGTGTTTGTAACGGGTGTGTGTGTGTAACGTCTGTGTGTCACGTGTGTGTGTGTGTGTATGTAACGTGTGTGTGTCACGTGTGTGTAACGTGTGTGTGTGTGTGTGTAACGGGTGTGTATGTGTCATGCTTGCCGTGTGTCTGTCACGCTTGCCGTGTCTGTCTTGTGGGTATCGTTTGTGTCATTCTTGCTGTGTGTGTCACGTTTGTGTGTATCATGCTTGCCGCCACGTGTGTCATTTATGTGTGTTGTGTGCCATGCTTTCCGTGTGTGTGTGTGTGTGTCACGTGTGTGTCAGTGGATGAGTTGCTACGGGTGCTGGAGCCTGGGCAGTCCCTGTCTCCTGCGGTTCCTGACTCCGTCAAACTCCAGATCATCCTCTCAGGTACCACACTCGCAGACGCACGCAGAGACGCACACGCAGAGACACACGCAGAGACACACGCAGAGACACACGCAGACACGCACACGCAGACACGTACACGCAGACACGCACACGCAGAGACACGCAGACACTCGCAGAGATGCACGCAGACACGTACATGCAGACATGCACACACAGACACGCAGACACGCAGACACGCACGCAGAGACACACGCAGACACGCACACGCAGACACGCACACGCAGACACGTACACGCAGACATGCACACGCAGACACGCACGCACGCATATCAGTGATGTTGGCTGGGACAAGATGGTTACATGGGGGATCTTTATTTTGTTGTGCCTGCCTGTGTGTGTGTGTCGCATGCGTGTGTGTGTGTGTGTCCACATGCGCCTGTGTGTGTGTCCGCATGCGTGCGTGTTTGTCCGCATGCATGTGTGTGTGTCCGCATGCGTGTGTGTCCGCGTGTGTGTGCGTGTCCGCGTGCGTGCGTGTGTGTGTGTCCGCATGCGTGTGTGTCCGCGTGCGTGTGTGTGTGTGTCCGCATGTGTGTGTGTGTGTCTGCGTGCGTGTGTGTGTGTCCGCATGCGCGTGCGTGTGTGTGTGTGTGTCCGCTGCCGTGTGTGTGTCCGCATGCGTGTGTGTGTGTGTGCGTGTGTGCGTGCGTGCGTGTGTGCGTGCGTGTGTGCGTGCGTGTGTGCGTGTGTGTGTGTCCGCATGCGCGTGCGTGTGTGTCCGCTGCCGTGTGTGTGTCCGCATGCGTGTGTGTGTGTGTCTGCGTGCGTGTGTGTGTGTCCGCATGCGCGTGCGTGTGTGTGTGTGTGTCCGCTGCCGTGTGTGTGTCCGCATGCGTGTGTGTGTGTGCGTGTGTGCGTGCGTGCGTGTGTGCGTGCGTGTGTGCGTGCGTGTGTGCGTGCGTGTGTGTGTCCGCATGCGCGTGCGTGTGTGTCCGCTGCCGTGTGTGTGTCCGCATGCGTGTGTGTGTGTGCGTGTGTGCGCGTGCGTGCGTGTGTGTCCGCGTGCGTGCGTGCGCGTGTGTGCAGGAGAGGCGATGTTAAAGACCCAGGCGGGGCTCTTGGAGGAGGTGGAGCAGCTGATTCCTCTGCTGGAGAGCCAGTCCCTGCAAGGTGGCTCAATGTGCAAGCGATACACATCTTCTTTGTCAATGAAGTCCTTGATCTGCGTGTCTGAAAAAACCTCGAGGGTGCTTCCCGACGAGGTAGAAAGCTCTTATCATGTGCACCAACAGGTGCTTGTCGCTCGCGTGCGTGCAGTATTGTAGCCGCCACCACCGCCCCGACCCCGCGGCAGTGCGATTTACCCCCCCCTCACGTTGGAGGGTTTTTGCGGTTCGAACCCCAGTGGCAGAGGTCGCAACCGGGTACCCGATACCCGTACCCTACCCGATACCCGGCTACCCGTACCCGGCCGGGTACGGGTACGGGTACCCGTTTGCGACCCTGGTGCGGCCGGGTACGGGTACGGGTAGGCCGTGAGTCACTGGTGAGTAACCGTTTGTCACTCATTTCCCAACGTCTTGTCTCTTCTCACAATTCAAGTTCCTAGAATCAACCCACCCGCGCCTGCAACATGGCTTCATCCCAGAGGTCGCAATCGGGTACCCGATACCCGTACCCGTACCCTACCCGGCCGGGTATGGGTAGGGTACGGGTACGGCCGGGTACGGGTACAGGTAGGGTACGGGTACGGCCGGGTACGGGTACAGGTAGGGTACGGGTACGGCCGGGTACGGGTACAGGTAGGGTACGGGTACAGGTACCCGTTTGCGACCCTGGTGCGGCCGGGTACGGGTAAGGAATCAAAACCCAAACTTAATTTGGAGCTTTCATGACTGCAGGAATTATTCTTTGGTTCTTTCGGTAAAGTCACGTATAAAGATAAAATAATAAATAATGCTAGTATTTAATTTATTTTTTTATTTTTTCTGCATACGTGACTTTACCGAAAGAACCAAAGAATGAATCAAAACCCGTTTGCGACCTCTGCCCAGTGGCATCCCCGGTTAATGCTGCTGCTGTGGTTGTGGTTGTGCGTGCGTGCGTGCGCGCCCGTCGAAAACCCCGCGGTTGTGTGTGCGCGTGTGTCCGTCTGCCGTGCAGCGATCCCTGGCTACTCGGGGCAGCTGCAGGCGCTCACGCAGGTTCACGTCCGTCAGCAGGTGAGTGGGCGGGCGGGAGGCGGGGGAACTGCGGGGGAAGGGCGTTGTGCATGTAATGTGTGGGGGGGGAGGGGTGGGAGATGTTAACTACCTCGCCTGGTGTACGGGAGGTCGTTGGTTGCTGTTGTATACCTGGAGTTTGCAGTGTCTCTCTCTCATCATCATCACGGTGGCTAGGAGATGTTAACTACCTCGCCTGGTGTACGGGAGGTCGTTGGTTGCTGTTGTATACCTGGAGTTTGCAGTGTCTCTCATCATCATCATCACGGTGGCTAGGAAATGTTGACTACCTCGCCTGGTGTACGGGAGGTCGTTGGTTGCTGTTGTATACCTGGAGTTTGCAGTGTCTCTCTCTCATCATCATCACGGTGGCTAGGAGATGTTAACTACCTCGCCTGGTGTACGTGAGGTCGTTGGTTGCTGTTGTATACCTGGAGTTTTCAGTGTCTCTCATCATCATCACGGTGGCTAGGAGATGTTGACTACCTCGCCTGGTGCACATGAGGTCGTTGGTTGCTGTTGTATACCTGGAGTTTGCAGTGTCTCTCATCATCATCATCACGGTGGCTAGGAGATGTTGACTACCTCGCCTGGTGTACGGGAGGTCGTTGGTTGCTGTTGTATACCTGGAGTTTGCAGTGTCTCTCTCTCATCATCATCACGGTGGCTAGGAGATGTTAACTACCTCGCCTGGTGCACGTGAGGTCGTTGGTTGCTGTTGTATACCTGGAGTTTGCAGTGTCTCTCTCTCATCATCATCACGGTGGCTAGGAGATGTTAACTACCTCGCCTGGTGTACGGGAGGTCGTTGGTTGCTGTTGTATACCTGGAGTTTGCAGTGTCTCTCTCTCATCATCATCACGGTGGCTAGGAGATGTTGACTACCTCGCCTGGTGTACGTGAGGTCGTTGGTTGCTGTTGTATACCTGGAGTTTGCAGTGTCTCTCTCTCATCATCATCACGGTGGCTAGGAGATGTTAACTACCTCGCCTGGTGTACGGGAGGTCGTTGGTTGCTGTTGTATACCTGGAGTTTGCAGTGTCTCTCTCTCATCATCATCACGGTGGCTAGGAGATGTTAACTACCTCGCCTGGTGTACGTGAGGTCGTTGGTTGCTGTTGTATACCTGGAGTTTGCAGTGTCTCTCTCTCATCATCATCACGGTGGCTAGGAGATGTTGACTACCTCGCCTGGTGTACGGGAGGTCGTTGGTTGCTGTTGTATACCTGGAGTTTGCAGTGTCTCTCATCATCATCACGGTGGCTAGGAGATGTTGACTACCTCGCCTGGTGTACAGGAGGTCGTTGGTTGCTGTTGTATACCTGGAGTTTGCAGTGTCTCTCATCATCATCATCACGGTGGCTAGGAGATGTTGACTACCTCGCCTGGTGTACAGGAGGTCGTTGGTTGCTGTTGTATACCTGGAGTTTGCAGTGTCTCTCTCTCATCATCATCACGGTGGCTAGGAGATGTTAACTACCTCGCCTGGTCTACAGGAGGTCGTGGGCTTCCTGACGATGCCCTCTACAGTTCTCCCCGGGGTCGCGTGGATTTTTCTCCGGGCCCTCCCGTTTTTCCCTCCACGTTGAGATTCAACGTCACGT